GGAATTACCCTCCCTCATTGCAGGAGAGGCTGTACATAAAAAGGTACGATACAGTTCACTCCAAGAAAGGGAGGGCAAGTTTCTGGCAGTACAGTGATGCTGGGATGGGGCCTAGGCAGACATCCGAGTCTGGCCTTGCTGTCATTCTAAAATTAGGCTCTCATTCTTCATCACAAAACACACTCCTTGTCTCTCATCCACAGCCTGCCTGTGTTGGTGGAGACACAGATTTTACCTGTCCGTGTGACAGACCACTCACCTGGCTAAAAATGCTATTCAAGCAACCAGATTAAAGAGTACTTAATAAAACACCCACTCTGCCTTTCTGGCAAGACACTGCCCACTGCCCTAGTCCAGTAAGAAAGAGGACTCCTGCCTTCCCAGGGGGAGAGAGAAATGGGATTTTGGGGAATATCTTCCACTGCAGTCCCTACATGGAGGACAGCAGCAGAGAAAAGGCAGCAGGGAGGGAAGTCTCACAGAGCAGAGCACCCCAGGGAACAGCAGCCCCATAAATGGCCAGAACACGGTTCAAGGTGGGTGTGCTCTCAGCCCATGACAAGCACCATTTAGCACGTGGTTATGGACCACCCGAGCCAGAGTTTAACCCACATGAGCTAAGATCTTTCCCCACCAGCTCCCAGAAACAGACCACCGCAACCACCTGTTTTTAACACACCCCTAAGGGTCATCCAGGCTCAGGATCCTGTTGTATTGCAGAGCTGCAACCAGCCTTCAACCTGAGGAGCCCAAAAGGGTATTGATGGCTATGGCCACCATGCATTGTGATGTGACTGCTCACCACCAGTGACTTCCTACAAAAGAAAGCCTAGGAAAGCAGCGTGGTGACCTGATGTACCCAAATGAGCCCTACAATATCTCTTTGGGCAGTAAGACTGGATGGACTAGTGCCACTGAGGTTGAAGACCAGCTGAAAGGTCATGCACCAAATCAGACAGAAAAGAAAGATGCACCTGCTTCGGTGGCACTTTCCTTCATGAACCTGTCCAAAAGTGATTGACCCCAGCTCTGAAAACTGCCAGAGCCTCTTGTTTCCCTTTCACCCTCTGCAGCCTTTCATTCTCATTCAGCCCATGGTGCTACCAAGACAGTTACCCAAATCTTCACATTCTATTTCAGTTTTCCCCACGTTTCAGATGTATGATGCAATGCTCTGTGTCCCCTTCCTACACAGAAGCCCTAGCTCCCTTGGGCAGGGGGAACACAAAAGCTCCTGCCAGCCCCAGGGCTCTTTTCCAACACACCAGGAGAGACATCTTTCAACTCACAGCCCCTGTGGCCTCTGAGGAAGGTAAGGAAGAAAAAGCAAGCAGTTGGGTTACTTGCCCTTGCAGAACCCTTATCTCCTCACCTGAACTGGATATACAGCTCAACACAAATACCCAAAGTGGCAGCAAAAGCTGAGGGGGCTGCTCGTCAATCAGCATTTCATCTCATCAGTTCTACACGTCCAGCAGTGAGGGTGTGCGAGTTAACAGCAGTTTTGCTAACTCAACAGATTTCCTTTTAAAAATATTTTTTTGCCAACATGGGGAAAAACCAGCCAGAATTATTTTTTTTTATTTTTTACTGTTTTTGTTTTAAGCACACAGAATCCTTCTCCTCTTCCACCCCACACACCATCTCCAGCATTTTCACCATATGGCACAGCAAACCAAAGATCAAGAGGAAACTCAGGAGTAGAAGGAACATCTGTGCAGGAGAAGAAGTTAAAAGATCCCACATGTTTCCCCATCAGGGAGTCAGCCTGATAAATAAATAGACCATAGCTTTGCAGATTGTTAGCTAACTCACTTTTCTGCCTACAGAGACATGTTTTTTATTGAAAATGGGAAATTTTGTTTTCTTGTAGGTAGAGCTCTGGGTGTCTGAGGTCAGGCATGGGCAGGAGTTTTGCTCAAAGGAGTAAAAATAAGAAAAAAAAAAAAAAAAAGGAGGGGGAGGGAATCCCCACCAACTGACTTGAAGTTTCACTGTTCCTACACTTTCAGCCAGGAAGGCAATTCTCACTTTACTATGCGGTGACTGATTCAAGCTGGAACCGATACAGTCAAATTCCCATGGTTATTCTTGGAGTTAGATTAGCTTGGCTAACACAAGCCTTTTTAACCACATCAAGAGAGTCACAACGTGTATAACTTAGTGCTATTTATCTAAAGGGTGGATATCAGCAAAATAGATACAATAAACTGCAGCTGGAAGAGTTTGGCTAAACCTTCGTGGACTACACTTTCCACCCCAGCTCTTGCCTCCACTGGGAGGGTCTGGATGGCAGGGAGCTGGGGGAGGCAGAGGCCCCCAGGAGGCCATCAGTGTAATTTATAGGGACACAGCCTGTCCAAATGCAAAATCCCCAGGGAAGTATGGAAGATTTCTCATCATCTTCAGTATATGAGACAATATCACAGTGGGCAAAATGTACATGTTTGTGTGAAACTGAAGACAAGGCATAAAGATGCTGCTTCTCTAAAAGACAATACAAGGCTGGGCACTCATGGAGAAGTATGAGGTTGTGCATCTGGAGGAGTGTGATGGTCCCTTTCCAAGGCCCTGACCACAGACCACTTGCCACTGGTTTATGGATTTGCCCCTATACCAATGAGTTGGGTCTGGCGTTTGTGCTGCGCCAGCAAGACAGAGAGGCAGCTGCACAGGAGGTTCAGGAGGAAACTACTGGCTGAATCTCTGACATGACATGAGAAACACAACAGACTTAAAAAGGATCTGAGCAAGGACATAAAAGCAGTGAGGACATAACAGCAGCCCAGAAATTAGGCCCTTGCCTCTATGCCCAGCTGTTCTCATTAATGCCTCAAAAAGCACTCCTGGCATGACCATGCCTGTATGGAGGAGTACAAACAGCACAGAGAACCTGCAACACAGGCTGGAAGGTAATGACTGCCCTTCAGCTCTGGTGTGCAAGAAACCCTTCAGGGTGTTACAGCCAAATAAAGTGCAGTAGAAGCATGGAACCTTCCTCAGCACTTCCCTGCACCCAGTTCTGCCATTCGAAGCCAGTGCAAGTTAAATCTAAAGTCCTAGAAAAGAATGACTCCGTATGCTCCCACCCACTGAGAAGGATGCAAAGCAGAAAATGAGGAATAGATGGATGCAGATTTTAAAAAACATAAACGGACCTGAATGAAACATCCCAAATCTCCAAGAGGTGATGTGGTATCCTGAGCCAAAGCCTAACATCCCCACTCAGCCCAGCTTTGATAAGAGGAGACAAGTAGAGCAGCTGAGAATGGAGGAAGCTAAGGGTTGAACTACTGAAACTTCTGCTAGGCACAACATTTTCCTCATATGATTAACAGACAGACCAATAAACAGATTTTCAGTTCACTTAATTAGATGCCTGCAAAGCATCTGAAAGTTGAAAATTCTTTTGTCTATGACAGATGTATTTGCATTAAAGGAAATTATGCTTGTTATTATTGCAAATACACATGATTGATGAAAAAACCCTTCACTTAATGCCTCAGGTTATTATGGTCTAACACAGTCAGTCTCCACAAGTTGTTGCTCACATATTTGATATATGACAGTTAACTTAGGGACAAAATTTGCTGAATGAGAAAGTAATTCCATCACCTGTAGTGAAACCATCCCAACATGAAGGAAAGGAAGTGAAGTCTGGACGTGGAATCCTGGAGAACTGAGCATTAGGGCTGTAGCTGGCTTTGAGCAGGCAAGAAAACACAGGTGGGCAATGCATTTTGGCAAACCTGAAGGAGCTCAGTTCATCTGCTTACAATGAGGAGACTCCAACTGCATAACTGGTGTGATGAGCAGAAAGAAACCTGTTACCATGCCCCTGTATCACAGGGTGGAGGATCCGTATGGAAACAGGGAGGGTGTATGGAAACCAGGAAGTGAGCTTCCCATTCATTCAGGCAGCAAGTCTGGAGTCAGGCTGAACAAACACAACCCACTCCCACTTCTGGCACAACAGATGCACGTCCACAAATAACTCACCACCTCTCCAACCTTTGTCTCTACAAACTGCTCTGGTTTTGCCAATAATAGCTTTCCTACCTAAGTCCTGCAGAGAGTCCTGTCTTCTGCTCCAAGCAGCTTCTTTCTTGCTTCTGCACTAAACTCATTAAATGAGTTTCAAAGACCTGTTATAAATGCTGTGCTCCAGATTATTACTTTCTTACAGTGGTCAGCAAATAATCATGCAATAAATCCCATTAAAAATCAAGGGTATTACTCATGTGAGTTGTTGCTGATTAAAATAAGAGCAGACTCAGAGCACTATCCCACTCTACTCCTTTCTATTTACACATAACCATGAAATCACTTGACTTGCAAGAAGGACACAGCAAGATTTCAGGGTATCAACTCAACCACTTCACTGGACATCTTCCTTCTCATTTCTTCTGCTTTGGGCCACCTTCACCTAAAGAACACAGATATACCACGCAGAGAGAGATGCTCCTGCACACAAAAAACATTTGGGCTCAGCAATCACCAGCTGATGGCATCTGCAGTCACTTCACATCAGTTCTGCCATGAAATTAAGATTCTACCCATCTGCCGTGCCATGGTGACACCTGGTTAAAAATCTTAACAAAGAACAAGTGCCCCTTGATGCTACAAGTAGCACCTCTGTGGATGAGAGGCCAAGCATCTTCCTGATAATTTTTTACTTATCTTGGTTAAATTTCATAAAAAACCATTTCTTTCTGTTGTAAATATAAGGACTTAGAGCAGCTGAGACTAAGGAGTGACTTCTCTTTTGCAAGAGAGGCTTTTACTCTGCTAAAAAACCAACCAGTGCAGGGGAAACGAAAATATAAACTGTTCAATTGCCTAAACCTGTGGTATTTGCCAGTGGGAACTTTGTTCCTGACTTGGTCTTGAGGTTTTGCAGGTT